TAGCCAGATGGTGAACTGTGCATACTTTTCAACAAACAGTGCTTGGTGTTTTGCCATAATAATTAAATTTTTGTCTTACTGGACCAGAAAATTTTTTTCCTCATGCTGTCAAAGTTTTAAAATGGCACTTTAAGCAGGCTGTAGCTTTTCTTTAAGTCAGAGTAGTTTCAATCTAGCTGTTCGACCATAAATGTCTAATTGATGGAGTGCTGCTGAGATGTCACTCTGGCAGAAGACTTGTGAAACTCTGATAGAGTGACTGTTGGATATTTGATCAAGGCCCTTCTAGCCCTGATACTCAATTTGGCCAACTATAAAAAGAGTTCTGGTGGCTACAAACTTCTTCCATTTCACAATGATCAAGCCACTGTGTTCTTGGGAGCGCTCATAGTTTTAGAAATTGTGCACTTGCCCTGACATGTGTCACCACAATTTTATTTCAGTTTCTTAGTGTCGATTGATAGTAAAAATGTCGATTTTATCATTAAATCTGTTTCACAATAAAGAGCACAAAAATAGGATGGAAAATGAACACTCTTAGGCAGGTGTATGGTGAAGATGGAAATGTCAGAAATATCACACACTCTGTAAAAACTACTTTTTGTTTGTTTCTTCTATTTGGTCAAGGTACTGTGATCCCAAAGGGACCAAGTGTGTGGAAGAGCTCACATCGGATACATTTCGACTTTTAAGAAAATCTTGGCACTCAGGCAGATACAAATCCTGTACATTGCGCAATCTAGCTCAGACGAGTCACTGAATCTTAAAAGTTGCATCAACTAGCAATTGAATTAAGCTCCTGAGAAGCATGTAGCTCTACTGTACATACCAGGAAGCTTTATTTAGTGATTTCTACCTGCTAACATTTTTAAAGTCTTGATATTTGTGCTGACAGTGTCACATATGCAATATAAATCTTTAAATAATAAAGCATGATTGTTGTCTGTCCCATGAACAGCTTAAAAATAAGCTATCACAGACAGTTGGGCTAATGTGGAGCAACTGACTGTAGAGAATTGTTTCCCTACTCCATGGCACAGTTTGTTCTAGCATGCTACTAGGAAAATCCACTAAGAGCAGAGCTCCCCTTTGTGTACACTGTCAGTCATTGCAATAGCAGCAACGACAAACAAACAAATAAATAAATAAAACTAGTTGTTTTGATTATTGTTCTGTATTGTTTTGCAAGAACAAAGCTGACATCATTGGCCTCATTAAAAACAATTACATTAATACATAATGGGGATGGGAGGGGGGAAAAAAGACAAGGGAAATGTTCCTTACCTGAGTTTAGTGTAGCTTTTGCGCAGGACACACATCGCAATAGGGATTACAGCCATGAGCAGCAGGACGCCAAATAAAACACCAACTGTGAGCCATATGGAGAAGCGACTCTTGTGCTGAGGAGCTGGTGTTATGTTAAGAACTGAGTGGTTTGAGTCTGGGGTAACCGTGGTCACCACAGGAGGAAATTTCCCTGTAAGAGAGACAACTGAGGCTTAGACGTGAAGTCATTTTAACTGTAAAGATACATTTGGTTATGGGGCTTAAATATGCTCCCAAACCAATTAGGTTGTCTAATTAACTTTTATTAACAATAAATATGTAGACTTTGCATATCGTCCCTTAAAGTTACAAATCCAAAGAGAATTTGCATCTAACTCTGTTCCTAACTGTTCCTCTCCACTCTACTGAACATTGAGCATCTTTTAGCTTCTTGTTTGGTTATTCTTTCCACGACTACAGCAGAGATACAAAGTGAAGCATTTAGCAACTTAAGATTTCTAGATATTTTTCAGAAAGTGTTAGAAATTAGACAAGAATGAAGTTAAATACATGTTAATGTTGTTCCATGTCTCCAAATTTGGCTGAGCCACTCACAGGATTCCAGACTGCGACCAAAATGACCGTTTTTTGATAGTATGTGAGTTAATATTTCAAGCGGTCACATTCATGCCAGTAAACGCTGATCATTTAGCTGTTATGTTGTCACTTGAACCAGCACAGACACCTACTGCATCAGCCATAGTGGTGGAAAGTATAACTTTTACTTCTTCTGTAGCTCTGTCCGTCTGTTTGTGCCTGATGCATAAAACAAGCTGATGATTTAATGAGGTAATGATATGTCTGTTACTATGTCCATGTTGCTACTCTTTGTAGTGTTGGCCCAATAAACCCAAGTAATGCAACTTCACAGTACACTAGAGTGCATCTAATGTCAAGTTAGTTAGACAAAATAAAAAGTGAAACTAAAAAAATAATGTAGCTGAAAAGGCACATAGATATATGGTCTTAGGGATCAAACAGCTTGCACATTTAAGAGGGAAAGAACCTGCTAAACACAAAATTTGAGCATCAGTTGAAAACCTGTCAACAACCTGCTGACTACTGACCAATCACATCACTGGAAATGTAGAGTCACCTCCGGAGTATTAACAGAACACAAGAGTAAAGTGACTAATAATGATGAACAATACACACAAAGTTAACAGAGCTAGGTGATAACCACCTTTGTGATGCCAGTTATCTGGGACAAACAATCACTGATAGATTCAATGGAGAAGAGCTAGACTATGTTGTTCATGGTTTGGTATGGTGTTACAGGCCCCCAGACTACATAATATGTTGACATTATTTCTTACATACATCTGTGAATGGTAATAGCAGCAGTGGATAAATGTGGAGCTCCCTGGAGGGTGGATATGTCGTTCCAGGCTTGCACTGATAATCTGTAGTCTCGCTGTGGGTTCAGTCCCATGATGCTGACTGATGTGTTAGTCAGCTCTGCTGAATTTAGCAGGAAAACCACATCATCTCCACACTCCTCCCACTGCCGGCCAGCCTCAGCTTCTTTCTCACACTTAACACGATATGTCACTTCCTGTCTGCCTCCCCTGTCATGAGGAGGGTCCCACGTGACTGTCACCACAGAGTCATTATGATGATGAGCTGTTAGATTCACAGGGGCAGAAGGTTGCTCTGTAAGAAGCAAAAACATACTTAGTCCAAATAGGATACTAAAGTTGTAATGTGTAAACCAACAAATTTAAATGGAATGTTTTTGTTGTTAGTTCTAGCAAATCCACTAATTGTTCCTTACTGGTGCAGCCGAGGTCATGTGGGTCATTTGGCAGACGGCTGAAACCTTGTAGGCAGTCACATCTCTCTGATCCCTCCCTCTGGGTTCTGGTATTTGCTGGACACAGCTGACATCCTCCACTCTCATTGGCTGCTTTGTAGTAACCAATCCTACAGGCTGGTGGAAAAGAAAGAGTGAGCCTCCTATTCACTGTATCACTACAGAGCAATTGGACATTGTGCATGAAACACTTGTACAAAACCATTCATTTCTAACACATAAAGCCCTACACTTTATAAACATCCACCTAAAAGATATTTTCAAACTCAGTCAGCAACAGTTCCATAACTATAAGACCAAACAGAGAAACCGTTGGGCTCAGCTGACACTTGGGAGAATTTTGAAACACAGTTCTCTTGGTCTAAATCAGGGGGCCAGAGGGAGATTGTTAATTATTGAATGAGGAACAAGTCTTTATTTGTCATAAATACATTACAACACTATGAAATTTTGTTGTCACATAACCCAGTTGGGGTCAGAACACATTGTCAATAATGACAAGATGCCCCTCAAGCAGGGAGTTAAGGGCCTTCCTTCAGGGCCCAACAATGGCAGCTTGGCAGCACCAACTTTCTGATCATCAGCTGCTGAGCCATCACTGCCCCCATAGATTGGAAATGAGAGAGTAAATAACAACAAATCAGAACACACTCATGTATTTGAACTTGTTGCATAAATGATCAGTGGGAACAAAAATGAAGCACAACAATGTTGCATCTATTTTAGTACTTGGAAACCTCAACCACCTTCTAAACATGGCGATGTGTCCAGTTTAATAATGTTTAAAAATGTTCTCATAGGTACAACTTATTAACTTAATTATGGACTGCTTTGTAGGGTAATTAGATTTTTGACCATCCCCTCTTATATTTGATTGTAGCTGGTCCTCTAATATGACTTTTGACATGAACAGACTTGTCATATTTTTATCTGTGGGCATCTAAAACATATGGAGCCCCCCAAGGGTCACGGCAAGAATTTCTTGTTTTCTGTGAACTTGAAATATGCGTTACACTTCTTCTGATGCATGCAAAGCGTTTGTGTTTTGGTCCGATCTGTCTACAATGCACTACAAGTCTAGGGAAACCCGAGGTGAATGATTTGATGTTTCATGTGGTGTATTCATCGCTCAGAATTTATTCTAAAAGACAAATCTCTTTTGGATGGCTACTGTCAAATTGACAGCTGACATCCCAAGGCTACAATAATACAGTGGCTCAGCAGTGGTCAATGAGAAACCTGCTGAATCAGCTCAATGGTGTATACTAGTGTCTGAGCAGCCACAGCTGAGGGGGCACCGACTTCTTCTGTATTCACAACCAGCTGCGATCCAGTGATTACATCTGTCATGGTCCTGGCAATGCCTTGCTGCTTTCCTGTGTCTTCCTTGTTTTACCTTCCCCTGTGGTTTCTTGTTTGTTCTCTCTGCTTGTCTGTGAATGTGTGTGTATGTGTGCCTGACTCACTTTCCTCTGGTAGCAGTCACTGGACTCCCTGAGCTCTACTCTCAATTACATACGCCAGATACTTTTGCCGTCACTCACATAGTATTGCCTTGGCCAAAGCTGAATTTAACTTGTGTGCTTCCAGTGCTACTCATTTGCTCTCTTGTAAAATTCACAGCTGCTATGCTTCAGATTCTCCTCCCAAGTCTGCCATTCATGCCAGCTTCCGCTCTACCATTCAGCCAGACATCCACCTACAAGCTGCAGACCCTGTGCCCAGCTGGTCCAGCATCTTCATGGTCTGTCAGTCATCACACCTGTTTTGCATCACTTTCAGTGCCTCTGCCAAGTCTTTTTTGACAACATGATACTGTACCATAGTACAGATTATATAGCCAGCATTGCCAGTGTTGCAATTACAGCTGTGTTAGTTTTTAATGGTTGACTACATCCAGCAGTCGTGTGGGAGCAGGAATAGTTTTTGCTGGCTGAGCGTTCAAATTAAGCTACAAGATATACAACAGGTTCAAACAGTAAC